CAATCTTCATTCTCCACACCAACCTCGTCTACGTATACTTTGCTTCATATATCGTGACAGCTTACATAAACAGATTTAACCAAAATTACGGGACTGGTAGCGGTTGCAGAACGCCTCCCATAAACTCAAGAAAGTATCTCAGGCTTTAAATTTCTAAATATTCTGTGTATTTTCTGATCTGCTGCATGGTCATTGGGCTGAATAACTAGTGGATGAATTAATTCGGTGGCCAAAGCCTACTACTATGTTTTTTTAAAATTTTATTTTACATTGAATTTTTTGGTACATTCTAGGTAGACAGTACAGTTACATTCATTACTGGGATCTTGTACCTTTACATGCTACTACTATGTTTAAATCTCCTAGACACCCAGACTGTTTGGAAATGATGCTGGTGGAGCTACTACTAGGCGATAGGAACTGCGTGCATCCACGGAGGTTTGGACTTCGACAGGAAGCTCAGGTTATGCACAAACCCCAAAGGAAATCACTGAAGAGCCCAAGGATCGCTCCCCTCTTACTCCATGTCCTATAGAAATTCCTGCATCTGAGATAGTGAGGAAAGTACCACACAAACATCTACTTGTTAAAATATGGCTTTTGTTTAGATTGATCACAGTAAGTACTATCTTCATTTCTATGCCAAGTCTTAGGATGTGTGAAATATCTCACACACAAGCCCCTCCCTGAGCAGTAAAGTAGGTATCACTTTGTCTTGCTGTACTGATAGAATAAGAGGGGAGGAACTCAGATGAGCCTTATTCTTTTTAAGAAATGCTGTGAATTGATAAATTATAGGCTTCACAGAAAGCAAATTTACTGAAGCTATCGGGAAGGTTAGCATGGTTGCTTCTCAGGCGATTGTGATCACTGGACCATTCCAACCATGATAGCATTTTTGTCCCTCTCCTGAGCGAGTGGGCCTGGCACCTTGACATTTCCATTAATCTGAAGGAGTTTCTGGCTATCACCACAGAACATTCCAACAACTGAGATCCAGGTTGTTACACCTAAAAGGCTTCTATCTGATGTTACTGTGCAAGAAGAAGGAAGTATCATGTTGTGTGATTATGTGGCCCCTTCTACAAGGAATAAAGGGGTGAAGAGAATCAGGAGGCGGTGATTCATGGACAGGAAGTGTGGCAAAGGCAAGAGACAGACAAGATGATCATGGGTCATGGAACACATGCCTAAGTTAGCGCAACTGTCCCAGTAAAACAAAGGTGCTGGTCCAACAGACTGGAACGTTAGTCTGCTGAGCAACACGTCCAAGTCTCCACAGAGTAGCATTTTTTATTGCAGTATGACTTTCTTGGGAAATAAAACTTTAAATAAATCACAATTACTTATTGCTTAGTATTTTGGATAATAAATTCTTTAGTTTATCAGTACCTCACGGCCTTCAAATGTGCATTCTTCAAATAGTTTCAAATACATATACATTCTTTCTCCTGAACAATAAATTATTAAGAAAGGAAAAGGTACATAATTTTAAAGCAAAGAAAAACAAAAACATATATTTTTGACATTTATCTTAAACTTATATGAAAACAATTCTATGTTTGACGTTTAAATATAAATAATAAAGGGCATTATGTTATTTACAATGTTACACAGTAAGTTGAGAGAGTAAAAACTGATATTAACTCATAGAGACAGTAAATGATTTAAGAAACCATCCAAGCAATGTACAATATGTATTTACAAAAGAATATCTAATAGAACTTGTGATATGTGGCTATTCCCTTTTGTCTTAAAAAATACAAGTAGTAGTTACTGAGCAAGTTACCCTGGGTCAATTCCATCTGCGTCACAACAGTCACAATGAAACACGAAAAGATAACATATTGCTGTTTGGGACACATACACCTCTACAGAGTGCCATTTTGGGGGAAGCAGAAGGCTGTTCACCAGGCAGTCTTGGGGAAAAGGGATGTAGGGGAAAGCAGGATAGAAAGCTAATCTTGAGTAAAAAAAGGAGTTTTGTATATACTATTCTCCACTACATGCCCCCAAAGGGCTATGATTGCAGACCCAGGAAACAAAGTGGCAGTCAAACTTCTCTGCAATTTCCAATACCTTAAAAACAAAGACAGCTTTCCATATGCTCAGAACACAGGTTTACACCCTCTGGTTTGCCACTGTACCACCTGAACTTATAATCATGGGTGCATTTGAGTAACGTGGCAACAAAGCATCACAGACATGTCCCTGTGAACATAAATGTGCTGGCCACCAGGAAGTCTGGTTTGCCACTGTACCACCTGAACTTATAATCATGGGTGCATTTGAGTAACGTGGCAACAAAGCATCACAGACATGTCCCTGTGAACATAAATGTGCTGGCTGCACCAGGAAGCCCTGAGCATCCAGCTGACCTTTCTGATCAAGAGAAGCTCTTGTTCTGCAGGTGGAAAGGCTGTCTCACCTACTATGCCACCTCTGTGAGTGATCAGCATCCGGTTGGAAATAAAATTTCCCATATGTGAAAATTTATACCAATTCTCAAATTCAGGAAAATGTTCCTCATTTTTCTTATTGGAAGCCTACTTATTCCTGCAATTTTTCAAAATAGGTCAGCTGAACACCCCAGTGCCCAAGGAAATTAAAACAGAATGTTTAGGGTTTTAAAATAATGATAGGAATTTCTTTTTTGAAATATTGAAGAATGAGTGAAGACCTTCAAAGGCAATGTCAAAAGAATTTAGAGAGCCTCTTCAGACTGACGGGCTTCTTTCCCATGCCATGACCTGAGTCATTTCTACACAAGTGGGAAATCAGCACAGACTGACAGGGTCTCCACGGTGTATGTTATAAAGCAAATGAGCACAAAGTTGAGCACAGAGAAAGTGGCACGTGAACAATGACAAAAACCTAGGGATGCCAAATGCAGAGACATCAAGGACATGTAGATGAGCTTCTCAGTGGTTTGTAGAAACCCGAAACACAGTAGGAGTATAGGCTTTCACTCATGCTTGGTCCACATTTTTTTCAAAGACCTACTTGCATGTCCTTTCTTCTCTCTGATTTGTAAAATAAAGATTTGATGAAGAAATACATTCAGTTCTCTTGCAAACAAGAAGCAATTACTCTCTTTGACACTGTGAACTTCCTGCTAGCCTATTTCCCATTTGTCCCACAGCTCTGAAGGGGTTACTCAGAACCTAGGAAAGCTCTATCCTTGGTTTAACAGGTATCAGGCAGGCAAAATATGGGCTCTGCATTAACATTTTCTTCTTTTCCTTGAATTAGCAATTATTTCAAAATGTTAATACCTATAGGCTTTCACTGGATTTACAATCACAAGAGAACACGCAAAATTTAGGCCAGCCTTAGTCCTGCTTTGGAGATAATAAAGCAAAAATTAAGAAAGGGAAAAATGAGTTGAAAAACGAAAAACGGCTGATGCAGGCTGTAAATGGAAAGGTCATTCTATAGGTGGGGGTCACTTAGGCAAGTAAAGGTGCAATCTTTCCAACGTTACTGACATCTCCTGATGAGTTACCACTGGTGGAAGGTTCTCGCTAATAACAAGTCACTGGCACACTGGCCACGCCTGACAACAGATGTCCATGCATAGTTATGACCTAATCAAGGCAAGGCTGATGCAGGCTGTAAATGGAAAGGTCATTCTATAGGTGGGGGTCACTTAGGCAAGTAAAGGTGCAATCTTTCCAACGTTACTGACATCTCCTGATGAGTTACCACTGGTGGAAGGTTCTCGCTAATAACAAGTCACTGGCACACTGGCCACGCCTGACAACAGATGTCCATGCATAGTTATGACCTAATCAAGGCAAGGCTGAAAAATAAAAGGAACATAATGGAGAGAAAGGATTGTCAACCAAACTTGAAAATGTCAACTAAGTCACATCATGCATAGTTATGACCTAATCAAGGCAAGGCTGAAAAATAAAAGGAACATAATGGAGAGAAAGAAGTTGTCAACCAAACTTCAAAATGTCAACTAAGTCACACAGCTACAGTCCAGTTATTTCTTCTACATACCCATGCCTTCTAAACACTCAACAACAAAGCCACTTTCCAATGATGACAAGTCTGCACTACATACAACAGGCACATTTATTTTCAGAAGTGTTTCAGGCAGCCTGCTGAGTGTATCATTTGCACTGGGCCTTTCATACCAAGATCTGCCTCTTCTGGAGCTGAGAAGACACAACCAATCACGAGCTCCCAGATCACTGGAAGATACAAGTCAGAAGTGATTGTACCATTATCAGTTGTGGTCTGTTGTTCAAAGAGACGAGCCGCTGGATCCTTCCCCCAGAGAGAAAGTAAAGCTGAGTCCTCTTCAAAGTTTTTAGATTTAACCTAATAGCAGGCCAGAACCCATTTTCTAAACTATGCCTAAAACTGTTACTTTTTGTCAGGAAAAATAAATTAAAATAAGTGGTAGCTTCTGTTAGCAAAAGCAAGCTGTCTTCTGATTAATAATATAGTTTTTTAAAAATCACAGTATTACTTTCTTCCTAATATTTAACATTACTTAATGCAGTTTCCTGCTGTATTTAATAGTAGCATGCTGTTGGATCTACTATTACCTCAGAGCCCAATGAAGCAAACCTTTGGCTGACAGAGTAAACAGAACTCATTTCATATTCGGAAAGCAAAGAAAATTTAGTACAAAAGAGAAGGGTATTTGGATGGATATGCCATTACAAGACATACTGACTGGGTGCTACTACAAGCAAACAGAAGGACAGTTGCAAGTCTTGCAAGTCTTACATCCAGTCAACATCAGAATGCAATGCACAAGAAGCCAGCAAGAAATGAATATGTGGAAGGCTTTGCTGAAATACTGTGGAAAAGCAATAACTGTAACTGTACAAAACTTGCTCTTGACATAACATAACATAAAGGCACCATTGATATCTTTCTCGTTGTGAAATACTGTAAAAAATTGCTACATATGGCACATAACACATTTTTACATACATATATTTAATTTATAAAAGTTTTTCCTGTTTTCTATTTGCAGAACTGCTAAAATAAAATAAATTGTTTAATTTAAGGTGGAATACTTTATTATATAAAATAAAGTTTTACAGGTGAATCTATGTGTTTAAGTTTTATACAGCAATAGGGTCTTGGTTAGCAATTACACTAGACAGCCTGGCCTGTAATTCTTCCTGTGTCGAGAAGCGGCCTGCTGGGTTAGTCCTGCTGTCAGACAGGCGGAAGGCAGGTGCTGCCTCAAGACTGGCTGCCAGGGGGTTCTGTACACCCAGGAAAGGTGTATCTTCTCCTACTCGTTCATCTTCTGTTTCACTCTCTGAGTTACTGTTCTCAGAGCTTGTATCGCCGTCCGTTTCCAACCTGTTGGCAACGTGGCCATTGGGCTTGGTTCTTTTGGCCCGCCGGCCATTGGCGAGTTTCTTAACAGGCTCTTGAGCTGGTTCATACTCCTGGGTGGTCTCATACTCCTCATCCTCCACTATCCTCAAGGGACTAGGGGGGAGGCTGTTACTCTCATGTGCAGGGTTGTGATGGAAGTTACTGAACTGCTGGGGGTGATGATCATACTTCTCTCGCAGCTTTGGTGGTGTCACAAGAAGTAGAGGTCGCTCTTCTTCCACAAAGGGGCTGACTGCCATGGAGGGCATGGACACCGTCATGCTGGATGCCGGTGCAGACATTTCCGAAGGGGGCGATTTGGGGGAGCTTGGCGTGTGGAAATCTATAGGTGACATACGAGCCGGGGTGGTCATGGCTGATACGTACCTGTGTGAGCACAGAATACCCCACATAAGTGTGGTTACACAAGAGACACACAGCAGGGAGGGTAAGGGCACAGAGTTCATGATATGATATAATCAGAGAACAATACTCACTGTATACAGCTCGCTTTTTACAACTAGGAAATTCAGTACCCTTGGAAGCTAACATTACGTATCCAAGAGTTTGCTTACAGGAGTTCATGCAAAGATCTGCTAAATTGTCTAGCTCAACAAAGCTTTGGGATTTTCAATCTCACCATGAGTTTAAATAAAACCATGTGAGCCAAGAAAAGAGGGCACTGGGTCCTGGAAATCTCGCGAGTTATAAAGACCGAGGCTCAGGGATTCAGAAAGGAAAGAAGTATTACTTAAATACTATACCTTCCTAAAGGCCAAGGGGTCTTAGAGAATGAAGCCCAAATGGGGAATGGAAGAAGATCTAAGATGAGTTGCTGAGAGCTGGATCTGCATGCATTTGGATCTGTGTGCCTTGTCTCTCCTTAGCTCAGCTATAAGGTTATGTCTTATGAAAAAAAAAGAGCATAGTAACTCAGATTTATTCCTGACAACAGTGTAATACAATTTGTGTGCTTTTACTTTTTTCCATGAAATGCTACTACCCATCCCAGGGGGCAGGGAGAGCCTTAGGTTAGGGTAACAGTTACCAGAATAGAAACAATGTCCAATATTCAGTCCACCTCTCTCTTCCAAACCCACCATCAGTCTCTGGTGCATGCAAAGGTCAGCTAAATTGCCTGGCTATCTTTTGTGACTGCTCCGGGACTGACTGCACCATAATGATACCTTAGGTCACTACATGTGATAATGCTCACTGAATTTCACTGCCGAGACAGTTCACTGCTTTTACCATATCATGCTTTCTTCCAAGAGGCCTTGAAGTTTGGCACTGAGGAAGATGGGTCACACTTCTCAGCTGTGGATAAAAATGTTACCAATGCAGAGCACTAAGTGACTCTTTCCTTTACATTGACATTCACAGTGTCTAATTTGATGAGACCTGTGAGGACACAGGAAACCACCGTCTGAACTCTAGATAACAGGGACAGGAAACCTACCAACTTTCCTGCTTTTCTATGATTCATAGTGATTAGGATGTGAGATCCGGCAGTATCTAAAATAGAAAAGTGTCTTAAGAGAGTGAAATATTTGGGGCCTGAGTCTGCAGACTTTTTGTTTTGGGGGTACTTAAATTAAGCTCTGTGAAATGGGAGCCCCAATTTAGCCAACACACACGAGTGATTCATCGTTTCTCCCCATGACCTTTAAAGGCAGGTATATTCTGCAGACCTAGATGGCATTGGGGTAGGAGTGGAAGCTACCCCGACAGGGACATGTCAGTCTTTTAAAGATTCACATCTCAGGAAGTGATGAAGAAAGACTTCACCGTAACCTCCTTTTCAGGTTTCAGAAAGATTTAATTAGATCGGACAGAATTTTTAAATACATAAAAATATAATTACATGACTTTAGGATGAATGTTTTAGGGCAGTTTGGCTCCTGCCTACTTTTTTACAGATGGGTTTTGGGGAGCACTCTAATCCCATAAATTCCATACAGCACTAAAATACCATTTTGGGGACAAAGATGTTGAAAAAGCGCCCGGAGGCTCTATGTGACACACAAGCTCAGAATGGGCCACTCTTGGTTCTGAGGATCTCGAAGTCCATAAGTAGTCTTTCAAAATCATTCCCAAGCATATAACTACCAAATAAATGTGGACTTGCTATTATATAAACTTTATATGGGAGAAGATTAGACTGAAATGACAGTATAATAAAATAAACTGGTGGATTAAAACAAATATGTAACAATTTATAGAAGGGTGAAGACAACTAATTGGGAATAACTATCTTCCACTACAGGTGAGACTGCAGAAGGGAGAATCTATGAATTCAATATTCCTGTCAAGTATCTCTGAGGTTAGTTTCCTCCATGTTTCATTTCACCTTTGTTATTACTCCCACAACCCAATCTCCCCAGAAGAAAGCTCAAGCATTCTGGAACAAAGGTCCACACTGAAAACATGTCTGCTCTGAAAACCCCCTGTGAAAATTGCCTGATAGGCATATGAGAGATTTATTTATTTATTCGTCCCTCCTTGGAATGTCATAAAAGGGATACGATACGGCAGAACACCAGCAAGTGGTCCCCCACGACTGGCAGTAGTGACGTAGCCTTAATTTGGTTTAAGTGAGGCTGGAAGGTAAGACAGAGTCAACACACGAGAGCACGAGGCCAGCTCGATCCCAAATTAAGGTTTGGGTAAGCGGCAGATTAGGGTTCAGAGAAGGGAGGGTCCTTATCAAGCACTGCTGCCACCCATCTAAGGTGACAACTGCGGAGTGGAGACCCGGAGAGGGTCAGAGACTACGGCCAGGTCTGGGAACTCCAAGTCGGCCGCACCTTCCACGTCAGATCACTCCAGCTCTTTAAGAGGCAGCCTGTCAGCCAAGAGGGCAATGCGAGAAGCTCAGAGGAAACGAGTTCAGTCAAACAAAAAGGTGACTTCATCAACTAGGAGCACTCCTAGAACAGGAAACTGCCACCCCGATTCTGATCAGGTGGCTTTGCTTAGGTGAGACTGTAGGCGCTCACAGGATTCTGCTACTGAGGGTCCTCGGCAGTAGCTCTGTCCTTCAGTTTTACCTTTCACTATGAGGAGAGTCTCGGTAGGAGTCAGGGGTTTCTCTGGCATGCCTGAGGAAGCTGTTACATTCCCGAGGGCCTCCCAGGCCATTAAGACGTCCTCTTGGGCCCCCACTGGGGCTGCTGTGCCTACTGTTCTCTACTGATGACATCACAATTACAGAGTGGCTTTCTGAAATAATGCTTTCCGTGCGTCCATTGCTCCAGCTAGAGGGGAGGAAATGTGAGAGGCTGTGAGACTTTTATTTTCATTATATGCAAAAACAGAAATGGAAAGAAGCAAGGCTGATGCACACCGCACTTCAAATTACTGATGCCTCAGTGGCTCACTGTAACATTAGCTAAGAAGAGAATTTCTGCAAAGATCCTTGCTGTACAGAAGATCATGATTCATGCCAGCTTTGTGAGCACATAATTTACTTGTTCACTCATTCAATATTACTTATCAAACATCACTGTGTATTATATATTCTTACAAGTCTAGGACAGACTTCTCAGTGAAACGATTCAGAGTAGTCAGACACAAGCAAAGACAACTCTAGCACGTGGGACAGCAATTCTGTGAGGTAGGCACCGTCCTTTTCTCTGGGGTGGGGTGGTTCAGATTCACACAGCCGTTAAAGATGGGTTGCCCTGATATCCAAAGACTGTTTATATCTAAGTACTGCACAATCCTTTTGCCTCCTTAACATCTCTCTTTATTTCTTAGACAGTGGCAGCAAAAGGCAATATGTAAAACAAAAAATCATTCTTAGAGAAACGCTATGAAATTTGTAAATTCTCGTACCTGTGACTAGGAGTCTGGGTGACCGTAGTGCAGTGATGGGTGGTTGAGGTGTAATGACTGGTGGAGAAAGACGTCTCTGCTTCTCTCTCAACAATATGCTCACTAGAGATGACATTTTTAGATACATATTGCTGGATAAACAAAGAGACACAACTTGAAGATTCACGGATACTGCAATACGAATGTGGTCACACATGCAAATCTATTGTGTGTGTCCTTCACACGGCCGATGGCTGTATTTCTCCAATGGCCAGATTGAAAATCCTCTCTCAGCCACTCTAGCTTTTAGATTAAATGAATGGAATTAATGAATTACTGTCTTGAGGTGTACAGAATACAGATTCTAAAATCACAATTCCATTCTATCAGAAAAAGACCTCATTCGCCAGTCTCATTTTCAATTGATAACATGACTCGAATTAAAAACAAATTCTACAATATTCATTTTTCATCAGGGTTGCTGTAAGTAAAAGGCTAATAGGTACTTGAGTGAGATAAAAGCAGAGACATAACTTGTTTTACTTCAAATTTCAAGCCATACACACACAAAAACCTTTTAAATACCTACATTTTGAATCTACGTTTCTTTCTCAATTTCATAGGATCATGTTACCTTTCTGATATCACTGACATTTTTAACTTATTGTCAGTAGTAAGACTAACAAAACTATTGCAAACTTTGAAGGGCTTATAATAGTTGTCACGATAACAAATTCTGACAATGTACTTAATATACATAAGGCCTTATAGTCACTGCAATTAGATTCTATTTTATTTCCATCAGCAAATCACAGTAGCTATTATTATTGCCTTTTATCAGTGAGAAGTTATATTTTTAAAAGTTATTTTTTAAGTTGTGTTTCAAACACCATTAGTATTACTGACAAATTGAGTTAAATAACAGGAAGAGGAGTGGAAAACAATATTCTTTGATGAATTAGAAAACTTATAGTCTGTTAAACCCTGGAGTTTAAAGAGCTGGGCGTCTTCACAGAAGCCTCAAAATACTCAATATAAATTACATTAGAAATTCTAGCCAGTTCTGTTTATGCAAGATTATTCCACATATATCTTCCTGGGAAGTATAGCTGGCTTGCTTTAGGGAAAAGATACAGAGTGATCTCTGGGCAGTGCTCACTCTATTCTTGCTTGTTGAGAGAAAACTTAAACTCAGTGAATCTAATGAAAATGATAATTCAACAATTATTGAACACTGCCTAGGAGTCATTGGACTATTTCATACAGATTATGGTATTTATTGCTTACAAGTAGTCTTTGAAATAGCTATTAATTATGTTGATTTTTCATAATGAAGAAATAAGGGTTGTAAAAAGGTTACAGCTCAAAGTCACACTATTTGAGCCATAACGGAAGTCCAGGCTGCCACGGTAATGTGATCCCTATATTACAACATTCACGGAGATGGACTGTTGTGTTGGCAGTGGATGCAATTTTCAATCTTCAGAATGTTCTGAACATGGTGAGAGGGAGGGAAGAAAGAGAGTCTGTTAACCTATTAGCACTTGGCTGCAACTGTCTCCTTAAGGTCTTGGCCACAAGAGTTGGTTCCAGTTTAGTAACAGCCAACTTCAGACCTGAGTCTATGATCCATTTGCTTTACTCAAAATATGCCTTTTCCTATTGTATTGCAGAAAATGCCAGTGCAATACAAACTTCAAGCTTTGCCTATTAAAAAACTATATACCAGAGGGAAATGAAAAAAAAAATACAGCAGAACATAAAAAGAAGTATTATGCAGAAAAAGAAGTATTGCAGGAGCAATACTTCAAAAGCCAAAAGATCTGTCTATAGCTCTGACCCTTATCTACAAAGAAAGGTTTGGAAGATTATACATAAACAGTTTCCAGAGTTGAACAGTTTATGATCCAGTTAAATTTAAAAGCCAACTTCTCGAGAAAATATAAACAAAACATTTGCATGATTACATCCGGAGGGCTTGACACCCTGGAGAAGGATCCAGCGAATAAGCAAGCATTGCATTCTCCTAGCTCTGCTACTGACAAGTGTGTTTGATAAGTCACTGGACCTTCCCATGCCCTGATTTCTTTGAAAATCAGAATCAGTAAGTCATCAGACACTGTGAAGTGCCCCTTTTTTTTTTTAAAAAAAAAAATAACTCAAAAGCCCTTTCCTCAGTGGTCTGAACTAATCAGCCATAGATTGGAGATGGTCTTCATCTCCAAATTAGCAAAAATAAGTATTTTTTTCTGACTTCCTTCCTTTTTCTTTTTGCATTATGACATCCCTGAAGAGCAAACCCAACATTATTATTCCAACTCCTTAATGAACATTTTAATAAGAGGAAATGTGATGGTTTTACAGTAACCAAATCTACTTTAACAAATGTTCCCATTATTTTCTCCTGGCAAAATCTTGGTTTCCTGGAAGTCCTGGTGCTTAACGCTGGCATCTAATAGCCTAAAAGCTTTAGAAAATAAACTTCAAGGTGTCAGAATAAAAGGGAAATGCTCAGTATTTTTCCATTGGCCAGAATCAACATACATTCACCAGCTGGACATTCTCGGGGGGTGGGTTAGGATGATGAGGCCCGTTTGCTATGTTCACCATGTTGTTCCGTTCAGACCGAAGACTCTGCCGAAGCCTGTCATGAAGCTTTTTCCGCTGCTTCCTAGACATGGAAAAGGGAACATTTAGTTTTCCTATTATTTACATTTCTTAGTACAGCCCCAGCTTTCTTCTACCAATGTCTATAACACAAATCAGTGGATTGGCAGTGAGGAAGAGGGCAGGGTACATATGCTACTCTATCTTACAGTAGCAATTAACACTTCTGAAAGTTGTATGGGATTCTTAGAGACATCCTGTTACTTTACTGAAAAACAATCAATCAAACAAACAAAAGGAATAGGAAATAAATATGTTGGTACTTGGATACTCTCAACTTTGTTAATCATTTCATATTTGCTTAAGTCTTATAGGTGGCCAACTGCCTTAGAAACACTTTGTGCCTTAGAATTTAAGAGGCTGATTCCATTCAGTTTTTTTTTCCTTATGATCTTTTAAGAAAAGAAGCTTAGCTTTGAATTTGTAAGTTATACACCATTACTATATAGGTAAATATCACATGGATAAAAGTGAGAGTATGAGCATGTTCTTGCAATTGGATTTTGGCACAATTATAACATGATCCTACTTTTGAAAATTTTTGGAAAAGTAAGCAGTGAGTGCTAAGACTGAAGTTAATAAGACCCATGAGGTTAGTCCCATGAAGGGTTATCACTATAGATTACTCAGTTCTAACAACGTCCTAAACCATGAGGTAATGAGAACAGAAGCCATTTCTTTGATTTTGTGGTATAAACATGAATTCCTTTTATTCTTTAAAGCAACATTCAGATTATGAGAACTATGCCAAAACCATGACAAGTTATGCCAAGACTGTACTATGGTATAAAATCAATACAAAAACCTCGTGTTTATTAAACATTGCAGAGCTGAAGCGCAGGGACGTGGGAGGACAGCAGATGTATCTGTTAATGGAGATCAAGCTTAAAGGGCCCAACAGTGATTACAAAGTTATTTTAAAGGCTTCTCTTTAATATCTTCAAAGTGAGTTTTGCCTGATTTTCACCTCACATTTTGAAGGCATTTATACTACCAATCTGATTAAATAGGATCAAAACATAGTCATTCTAATGTTCAGAAAACTGTATTTTAAATATCATTATGTGCTTCTCTTATCTCCTACGGTACTTGCAAGTTGGGTTTGATCTTAGCAGTCCCGTGCTAACCACATGTTTGGCATATATACAATGCCCTTGATTTATTTGTGTGTTGCTAGGCACATATGCTACGCAAGTGCTCTACCACTGAGCTACAGCTCTAGCCCCACACGGTCCTCTACACTGAGATGCCCATGTGCACTTTCGGGCTTCTGCAGAACTCTGTCACTCCAAACCTTTATTCATGCACGGGACTGTAGTTACTTCTCAGGAATCTCCTGAGCACTCTCACACAAGCAGCTAGAGTTTTCCAATGTATGTGATTAGGAAATACACTCAACACGCATTATTCACCAGGAAAAAGGAGGGGGAAAGCCCCTCCACTGTTCTCTCCCTATTCTTGGATGTCAAGTCCATGGCCCGCTAAGCGTTGGCTGCCTAAATGTATCTGCACGAACGAGAGAGAAAGGATTGGAGGAGGAAGGTTTACTTGGTTTTGCAGTAGGCCACCACACACATGATGCCGACCACCAGCAGTGCGATGCAGATGCCACTTATGGTCAGCACTCTCTTCTGGTAGAGCTCCTCCGCTTCTGGAAAGGGGTGAGAGCAGATGTCACCAAGGTCACTTAGAGTCGCCAGGGCTTCCTACAACTGAACAGCTGGCATGCTGCATGACACTGTCCATGTTCACAAGAAAATAAATATGTAACAATACTTTACACTTACAGATGTATGTAAGGTACAACATGCTGTTGGGCTATACTTTGTACATACATGAAGCCAGCTGGGGCTTCTAATAACAAAATATTACATTCTACGATTGCTCTAATATTAAGCTATATATATATATATATGATATTAAATTGGAAAATCATAAACATTAATTATAAAATATGATTTGGTTAAAACTACAGATTTTTAAAAATTCTCTTTGAAAAAATTTTTAAAAAGTAAAAAACTCTTGCAAAGACAACAGGAATCCACACCAATAAAAAGAGCTAGAATTGGTACCACTGAGATCCCCCCTTCTTTCCTTCCCCACCTCCACCCTCAGCCTTTTTGTATTTTTCAGCTACATTATGTCATTAATTCATATCCAGTGGTCTTTACAGAGTCATTCATAGCCTTAACACAATTAAATTCAAAGACATTTGCAAACATGAACTTGGCTTGTAGTTAGCAATAAATTGAAGTAAGGCCCCTATGATTCATCAGTAACATGTGAAGCAAAAGAAGCAACACAATAGGTACAACAAGGCACTGTATCGGAGAAAATCCAATATGATTGGTATGGTCATCTTGGGCCACAAGGAAGACACGTTCTTTAGAGGGAAATGCTTATTATTTCATCAGTTGAATTTAAAGAACTAATTTATTTGCATACAGAAGTCAGTCACCAGCACAATGATGTGTAAGTTCAAACAGATTGCAGGGCCCCACATTGGCCAAATTAGCCAATGGTCATTCTCCTAAGTGTGATGCTTAAAACTCTGTAGTAAAGGTACTACTGTACACAAGGTACATCAGTCTCTGATTCACAGAAAATCTTCTATTTGCAAATTAGCTTCTTTGGAAGATTATGTGACCATACCAAGGCGGGACAACTTCTCAACAAGATTTGCTCACTGAATGGAAACCTTGATCCCTTAGGAGCTGAACTTCCAATAGTCTAATTACATCTATTGGAAGATCTTTGCAAGCTCACTCAGAATGAGAACTCAACCAGTACATAGTAAGCAGTATGAACTGTTTACTTGACATTATAATTAAGCTGGCCAAGAACTGGGGGATCATTGTACAAATGGAGCTGTCTTACCCAGACATGAACAAGAGAATCTCAAAAATATCTCCACTATACAATCCTAGTCTCAGCAACAATACCTTCTTCTCTATTGAGAGAGGGCAACTCACAGGAAGTTTTCTTGAAATGAAAAAGTGGATTTTAATTTCTAGGATACAGTGGACCTTATCATTCAACAAAACGTTTCCTACAAGCCAAGCCCATGATAATCAAATCCCAGTTAACAGGTCAAGAACATTGTCAAATCAAATTAATAGAGCACTGATTATTAACAGGAGGAGAAGGAGAGAAGTCAGTGGGTATAAGTAGAATGTTGCACAGATTACACAAAAACAAACTGAAAAGGTTGGAAGTGGAAAGGAAAAACAAACCAAGAGGACAGACAGACTGACAGAATGACAGAGGAAGGAAGTCAAGTACAAGGGAAAACAAGGTTAAAAGTTGGGGAGCCATCTGAAGTCCCTGGCACAGCATGCCTGATACTAAGGGAGGAAGAATAAATAAATAAACAAAAACTAGAAGGAGGAGATGCTTGGAGGGGGCACAAAGGTAGAAGGGTTACCCCATACAGCATAACTCCTAACCTAGGGCTGGCAGTGGTGTGGAAGCCACAATTAGAAAGCAAAGCAGCTGGTGCAATGCAGGGCAACGATGTACTGGGAGCAAGGAGTTGGTGTCACAGATTTTTGTGCCACGCAAGTCAAACAAGGACACGGAATGCGAGTGCTTGTGTGTTAATTGCTTGTGTCTGCTGCTTCCCTCCCTCAGAGCTACCACACAGGGAATGACTTTTGCTGAGGTGTCATCTGTGAGCTGAAACCTTCCTGACCTTGGCATCTCTATCAGTTTTGAACTTAAGCAGAAACCTAAGAAGCAGAGGCCCTGCCCCCACTTGTCCATGGGACCCCAAAATGCAGAGCTGGGTTGGATAGTTAAGAAAAAAAAGGGGGGGTCAGTATTGTGGCCAAAAATAGGGAAGCCCTCCTTTTTACTGTCCTCTCTCATTTGCTTTATTTTAGCTTTTCTTTTAAAATGGTAAAGTCAGGGCCTGGGCTGTAGCTAAGTAGTAAAGTGCTTGACTAGCATATAGGAAACCTTGGCTTTGATCTGCACCAAGGAGAGGGGATGAGAGGGGAGGGAGGGAGAGAGGGAGAGAGGGAGAGAGAGAGAGAGAGAGAGAGGGAGAGAGAGGAGAGAGGAGAGAGGAAGAGAGAGGGAGAGAGGCCGACTTGGCTGTAATTTTTCACTGACATTCTAACATTTTGCCTTTAGGAAAAGCTGGGAGACTGCAAACTGCTGTGTCAACAAAATGGGGACACATACAAGGGCTGAAAGGGGGAAAATGGAATCCTGTATACTCTCAGGAATTGTTTGGGCAAGAGTTTTCTTTTGGTTGTTAACTATGAAAGTTGGGGCTGTGAATAAATGGTGTAGGATGACTGGCTCGTTTTTCCCATGTCAAATGATTTCCTGGAAATAAAAAGGTATCTCAGTCATGGAAAAATGTGAAGAGCACTAAAAGGAACCATTTAAAGGGAAGAATACAGAAAACAGAAGAGGGACTAAAATTCTGTATTCCTATCAGCATTGACTAAACACTGGACACTTTTTTATGGTTTTGCTAGATCAGATGACCCCCACGGTGTGGATGTCCTAAAGGAAAAATATTTGAAAATAACAAAAATAAAAACAATGAGTTCCTTCATCTCCTTTTTCCCCTGAGTTTTTTTCCTTGTGTGGTAGGGCCCACAGCACTGAGAAACTAAGAGACCCTGCTACCAATAAAGACTCAGTCTCTCCAAATGGGTGAGCCTGTCTCCATGAGTGCAAATGCTCCTGAGGCTGTAAGGTGTGGCTGGACACAATGTAATAAATCAGATCAAGTACGTTTTCTGGTCGGATGTGTCCAAGCCAAAAGACAGAACCTTTGTCTGTCTTCGTTTTATTGAGCTCTCAGATCAGATTTTCCCGAAGGATGTTGCACATTTGTCTGGTATGCTACAGAGCCTCTGGGAAGCAGGTGAGCAGATATCAGCACCTTGTCTTTCCTAACCCTTAGAGCTTATTGTGCAAGAAGCTACATACCACAACTATTTGCCTTTATTGTTTGGCAACAGAAATAGCATTCTATAATCAGGCCTTAAAACTGTGACATGGGATACACCATTAAAGATAAAGGGGAGGAGTAATGGTGGAATTCTTTTCTTTCCTAAATTTTTCCTCCCCAGGGTGGCTGCACAGTGCTCAGAAAGACAAACAGGCCCAGCCCTGTGGAGGCCATGGATGGTATCAGAGCTTCCTGCACCCTCTGTGACTGGCCTTTTTGCTCAGCTATTTACGATGAAGGTCTTCAGGAGTATGCCCAAATTTCAATTGCTCCTAAGAGGTACTTTATGTTTACAGTGTGAAATTTTCTATTTGGGTACTGGTCTAGATAATCCTAGTGACTCAAATTTAATTCTATTAGCCCTAAAATTTCCACTTAAAATAGCACAAGGCTTCTGTGTTGTTTTTCCCTTGCTCATAAGACAATGAAGTTGACTAGAATCACTCTTTTGTTTTTTTTTTTGATACAGGTCACTATGTAGTTGAGACTGACCTGGAATTCACTATGTAGCCCAGGCTGGTCTCGAATTTACAGAGATCCTCCTGCCTCAGCCTCCCGACTGCTGGGATTACAGGTGTGCGCCACCACGCCTGGCTCTGACTCGAATCATTTTTGAATATCTCCAGAAAAGTGGAGTATCTTAAGTCTGCGCCTGCAGGGCTGCACTGTCATGCAAGGGCTTCCTGTTACTAAAGAGATGGTTTTTACATTGTACACCAAACTCCCATCAGTTTGAGATGTGGTGTGGCATTTAAACAGATGCATTTAGTCTCTTTTGTTCTCAAGTCTCTGGTTTGATTTCTCCTACAGTAATGGGCACCTCTCTTTCCTCAGCTTTGGGTCACACAATGTGGGATCTATGGGAATCTGCAGCAGGTGGGAAAGGGCGGGTTAATCTAAGTGAAGGTAGTTTAGGGATTTAAAAACTGCTGCACTCAGTAACGTTTCAGTGAACTAATCATAAATGGAAAGTAGAGAAATCATTGTTATAGCTGTATGATCCCTTCTAAAGAAAAAGGAAATTAGTTAGAAACTGAAAAGTAAGAGAAGAAAAAGATTTCAGCTCATAAGTTCTAAAATCTGCAGGCTAAAAGGAAGGATGATTGGTTTCATACCCATAAATTCAATCCCAAGATGCTCTGCCAATGCAGAAAGTTGACAAAAAAAAAGAAAGAAAGGGAAAAAGTTTCAGAAAAGAGCAATACACTGCACTCCAAAACACATTACACATGGCTATCACAGCTCCGTGCGTGCACATGGGACAGACGTGTGGCAGTTGGTTCACACAGCAGTGCTCAGGTAAGCAACCCCTTAACCCTTAAAAGATTTTACTGAAGAGGTTACATGGCTGAGCTGACCTCTACACTCTCCACTGAGAAAAGAAACATTTTTGCAACCAGATAAGGCATTTGATTTTTTTTTTTTAAGTAACTTTCCAAAGAGATGAATTTGAATTTCTTTTTTCTCAGAGACACACAATGGTAGAGCCAGGAGTAGAAGCCAAGAGGATAATAATTGGAAGTGAAAACTTTATGATTTAGACTTAGATTTTCCTTGTTGGTAAGCAGTTAACACTTCAGGAGTTCCTGTTCTGTATTTTAGCTTTGTGTCTTAGGATGCTTCATTCATACAAACAATAAATCCTTTTGCCCAAAAATCTAGGACACAAAATGTTGACTTGGGACACTGGAGATTGCTCCCAATTTTTTTTTTTTTCTCCATATGTTTGTGTGGTATTGGAAAACTCCAGGCCTTAATTTTTCAAATTGAAAAAAAATCAATTGTGAGTGTGTGTGGGGGGGGTAGTTTCTGGACCTTTTAATTAAATTAATTTAAATTTATCACTTTTTCAAGCAACAATTAGCTCATCTCCCCCACAGCGCTGAGCCCCCTGGGCACAGTAATGAGCTCCACCCAAGGCAGGAGACTCAAATTTGTGAGCCTACAGCCTGGAATTGTGGCAGCACTGACGTTGCAGACCCAAGAACTGCAGGACAGCAGGACCTGCACAAAACTAAATGAGAAAGTCAGGGAAATGAGGCAAAGAAAAATATAAAATACAAAAATAAAACCTAAAGGTTAAAAATATTTTTGCATGTGGCAGCCTTTGGGGCTTCCCTTCACTGTGCGCACCGTGGGAAGGGGCAGGTGGGGAGGAGGGTGGGATGTAAATAAGTCTATGTCTTCTTCCCTTGATCAATGGCCTGAGAGTCAGCAGGACAGTGTTATATTTAAGGCCTCTCTTACATTAGAAAGATGTGGTGGAGGGATGTTACTCTCGCAAAACATGGGTTTGGGTGAGGACAAAGTTCCTCGCACGGAGGAAGAGCAGCTGAAGGTGAGAAGGCTGAGGTCATCTTGGCTTCAGGTTCTGCCTCTTCCATTTATCTGTTTAGTGGCTCTGGACAAGTTAACTTCTCATGGATCAAATGCGTGAGACAGACATGCCTCACTGGGTAAACTGTGGAATAAAGAAGATGCGGAATTTGTTGGCCAACAGCAGAAGGGGTTAACACCTCGAGCAGAGACATCTGGAGATGTACCTCAGGCCACTTACGGAGTTTGGGTTTACTTTTGACTAATTTCATGGCCACGGCAATTCTGGAAGCTCCTGGACTATATCTAAGAAACAGACTTTAAAGAAATCATGCTTCCCAAATGTAAAAAAAAAAAAAAATACATGCATATATTGATAATGGGAAGCACAATGTATAATAGTTTCCTCTGTCTGGGGCCAGTACACTCAGACAAATAAACTGAATTTTTCATAAATTAAAAGCCAGGGATTTTGTTGCATAAGATGTTCACAGTAAAATAATTTATCCAGATCCAAACAAATATCTGCTGCCTCTGTGCAATGTTCCATTTCTGTTGTTTTCTTTCACCATATAAACTTGGGAACATCAATCTGGAAACACTCATTTTCCAAGGAAATGAGGATGGGCCCCACTTTCCTTCCTAGAAGCCCCTCCGCCCTCTCTTTCCTTTTTCTTCTACCAGCCAGTAATAATTTAAGGGTTAAAATTAAGACACAGCTACAGAAAACCTTTCTAAGGAATCATTATTCCATGCCTACGTGAACACTGCTAATGACCTCTATTAGTTGCGTAGAAAGCTTGGTTAAATCTTCAATAAAATTAGTAGCATGCCCATGCATACATATTACTGCATTTACAGTTTTATAGGTAAGTCTCTGAGTCTAATGATAATTTCATTTCAAGGGAAGTCATTCATATCAGGCAGTTCCAATTTTAAATAATTCAATGGGAAATTGGTACTTAAAACTGGAATCCCTCTGGCCATAAGCCCTAACAAGAAAACAAGCAAAGGAAGCATGCATCTGTCATTCTAGACCCAGAGCAAACACCGCCCTCATTTATTTTTACTATTGGTAGCTGCATTTTTTTTCATCATGAGTCAAAAAAGCAGAATATGCAACACTTTCTATTTCATGAAGGTTATTTCTTTCTATCTGTTCTGTTTAATCTAATGTTGGCTTAGGCTCATTATGTTTCACAGGCTTCCTACTGAACTTCTGCCTGGCCACTACATTTTTCAAATTAAATTAATAATTCAAAAACACAAAGGTTACTGCAAACAATTTAGTTTCCTTTTCTACATGTGATTTCCTGCTGTGCCCTAAGCAATATAAAAATTAATTTAAATCGAAGAGTCTTCAGAAACTATTAAATATTGACTCTCAAATCCTTTGCCTTAGGATTTTATAATTGCTTGAAGAAAACTGATTAACCTAGAGGTTAATTTAAATTTTCAGTGGCATTAGGGAAAAAGCATAGTAAAATAGCTCTCTTTCCCTAAAATTATATATATGTCTGCTGCTACTAGTTTCTGTTAAAATTTGAAGATATTCAGGATTTTATTCCTTCACATTTTGGGCTTGTTTATGCAAATGATTTTAAAAATATGGGCAGTCCTGGTTTTCTGCACTCTAAGATTTCTAAAAGGAGTTTTATCAATGCCAATTCCAAATGGCAACAATTTAGTGTCTGAGTTTTAATTTTACACTTACCTTTATAAATGTAGTTTTTTTCACATATGTCAATCCATATTGTCACTGAGCCCTTTTTTCCTTATTCCCAAGTTTCCATGGGCAATAAGCACACACACACACACACACACACAGTAAAATCTCACACTCGGTTGGAATTTATGACAATTTTGTCATAAGTAGAGTGTGTCTTTATTCTATCTTTTGCAAGATACACATGTTTGATAAATACATTATCTCAACAGGTTTTAGAAGCATTTAGAAAGAAATCCATGAAATGATTGATGCACTAATAACATGATTCACAACTACTTTAAAGATATCTGGTAAGTTGACTCATTTTAAGATTGTGCCTGAGTCCTAAAATTGTACTCTTTGAAAATACTGTATGAATTGTTATTCTGTAATTAGTTCTTATTGTTTGTTAGTTTCTATAGGATGTACTTACTCTATATTATCTGTAACTATTGAAGGTGTGATTGCCTTTTTGAAAAGTCTATATGTTAAGGACAACCTGTATACACACACACACACACACACACACACATGACACTCACATAAGTCACACCACATATTGGTGGACACAGTTCCATCAACTAGGAATTGCATTATGATAAGTTGAATTTTATGCTGACTCAACTTGACAGTATTTTCCTAGGAAGTACTAGAAATATGTTACATTTCAAGACAAAAATATATGTGTTCCTTTCATGTTTTAAATCAGTTTTTATATGTCAACAAATGCCCCACAGGGCATTCTGATCAGAATCACTGTATCAAATTCTAATATGTAAGTTATATGTTAACGAGCATTTTTAAATTATACACATTCTTTTATGATGCCATTCTTCAAAAGAAAATGTGGTTTGGTAAGATTTAACTGTTCTACTTTTGTGACAGGGACTATTCTTTTCCTTGAAAATCTGTATTATGCTCTTTAGGTGCTACGTCTACAAACAACTGAGTTTTAAACGATCTCTGTAATAACATTTTCCAAGCTTTTTCTCAGGCTTCACTGCTACTTGAACATGAAGTTCTTTCTTAACTTAGCAAAATTTTTTTTCATACCTTCCACATAGGGGTTTGCTGAGATTAAAAAAAAAAAAGTGGGACTTTCAGATATCAAAATTAAAAAATTAACTCTAGGCAAGACAATTCTGGAAAGCAATGCTTGACTGGAATGTCTTGACTTCCAGACAGGAGGCATCAATAATGCACAATCGTTACATTTTTTGTTAAATAAATATGCTTCCTATCAGGTTATATATGAACGATAATTTCCTGGATGTCTTCCAAAATTGTCACTAAAGCTTACTTCAGATTTTACTGAAGGATTCACTCTCTGGACTTTACAAATACAGCACGGCTATTTTTAAGTGATTTCTCACGAAAGAGAAAATGGTCGTAAAACGAATGAAAACATTTTATTTGGTTACTATTCTCAGATTTAACTGCATTATTATTCTGGGAAACATCTTCATTTTCATTGCTTTTCTTTAAAAAGTGACCTGACATTGTCTTCACTGCACAATAAAACTATGTAACTTAAAGTTCAGATTCCTTCTTAATTTCTAAAATTTGATTTTATTGTATTTACATAGTCAAATGGATTGGCAACACCTACTGCTATCTGAATACAAGCACACATTTCTAACAAGAATGATTACACTCAATAAAATTATATCTATCTTCTATTTTTCCTCGTCACCTTATCTACCTTTAAAAATCCATAGCTATGGAAAGAAATATCTTGGTTAATGAATGCATATTAACTAGTTGTAAATAAAGATTATGAAAATTTAGCAATGTTTGTACAACAGAAAATGACCTGTGACATAATCTTCGATATGTAGTTAATTGTAAGTACATAATAATCAACCCTTCACAAAAATGCTACTATAGGGATAATCTCACTTTGTGGATCGTAGAATTCATTCTCATAATTTTTATGATTATTAATATAACCTTATTCTTTGCATGGATCATAACAAGGATGCATCTTTGATTCTTTTAGGGCCCCTAAATGACCACTTGTGTCACTACTGTGTTTTATAAATTTAAACTGTCATGAGCTATGTGAATAATTTTCAAGGTAAGTAACTGACAGAAGAAAACACCTCAGGGTTTGCTAAATTCAGCCCACTGCCTGCTTTTTTGTAAATGGAGGTTTAATGGAACACAGCCACACACATCCGCGTATGGACTGTCTATGGCTGCTTTCATGCTACAATAGTAGAGCTGAGTGGTGGAGCAGTGACGGCCTCATCACAAGCTCTAAAATGTTTGTTATCTGAAACATTATATAACAATTTGCTATCCCTTGAGCTGGACGGATAACCAAATGGAATCCATTTTGAAGGCAATGTTTTGAAAGCTCTAGAATCAAAAGCTATAACCCCAATTCACAACTGAGGGACAAATAGTTTAGTTATCCATGGAGTTATACACAATGTGAACTGGGTATCGCAGGAGTGATGTTCAAAACACCATGAAGCCACAGAGATCTATTAGAATTCCCCAGTTCTGCGTGTAAAAAATACATATATATTCTAGAGCTGAATCACTACATTTCAAAGCAAAAAATATTACTTGAAATAACAGTGTTTTCTCCTAAAATCACCCTTGAAACTAACATAATGAATGCTAAATAAAGAAATCATAGCACAAAAATGACTATTTAAAGTAGCTCTGAATTACTTATTCCCTAAGCAACCTAAATAGAAGCATGGGTATTTCAGTGGCTGTGAAATGTTGGTTTTTAATTTTCCTATTCATGCTTTCTTTTAAATGCCTACATGAAAACTGTTTGGTTAATGAAGAGAAACATCTGAACTCTGTTTATGATGTTTATTTGTTATAAATAACACACTCTGAATCCAAAATAACTTACCATCATTTCAAGTGCATATTGGTTACAACTTAGCAACAGCCTTCTTAGGATGTTGACATAGATACAGAAGGTGAACTGCTCAGTGGGATGGTTTTATTTTACCAATAAGAGTAAGACTTTTAAATGCCTTTATTGTAATTTTACTGCTTGATATTGACTCTCAGTTTGCATCACATTATGCAATATCAATTTCAGAAACATCCGGAGCCTCACACGCCTATTAGTATCTTAGAGCCACTAGTCACAAACAGAGGAAGTAATACAATCGCTTTTGTTAATGTTCTCATGCGACAGGCAGAGGCAGTCCATATTAGACCTGGTAGAACACATCTAGCTCTAGGTGAAATCTGAGGGAGATGCAGTAACAAGAAAGCAGCACCAACTGAGCATGCCTCTAATCAGGCAGAGACAGAAAGGGGGTGGACGTACTGTAGAAGCTGGCCATTACGTAGTTTTGGCAACGATCACCAGTAAACTCATTTGGGCACCTGAGAGAAGAAACAAAAAAACAATGGTAGAAAAAAACAGAGAAAAAGAGAAGAGGTGAATATATGCTAGAAAGAAGCTCCGCCAGTGTCATTTCACTGACCTTGGTGAGTCCACCCTCAGGAACTGAATCCTTGTCCTAATCATGACTTCCAGGCTCCGGCATGTACCCCAAATAGTTGAAAATTTGTACAAAATGCAGGCTTTTGGGTTTGTATGACAGAAAGATCCCAGCACTTTAAGAGACTGCTTTCTTTCAAAGGGAAACTTAGCAATGAAGATCTGACGTTTCATTCATCCGAGTTTTCTATTTTGATGGTTTTAGTCAAAGATGTCAGAAGGAAATGTTTTTGGTCGGTTTTGCCTGCCACTGATCACCAGCCTTACAGGCAATCCTGACTGCCATTCTGTCACGTGTGTGACTTTGGGACCTATGTGGAAAGACACCCAAGCAAGACCATAGTGACAGGGTTCATGCTCTTGAGTGGATAAACCGCAATTAGGACAAAAGGAATCAGTTACAACTGAGATATAAAAGCACCAAGTGGTAGTGACTGTTGCTGCATTTTGGGGGAGAAAACAAACTTCAGATTATTTTAACATACTTCCTTGGGTTTGGACTTTCATGGGCACATTCTCAGTACATCTTGCTCCAGTGAATCCAGGTTGGCACCTAGAGGGCAAAAATGTGATAAGCAATAGAATGCTAAAGACACTGAGCTTTCAGACTGGCAATTTTCCTCCTATGGAATACGGAGATTCCCAAAAAAGACCTGGTACTGAACAACATAAAGGAAAGACACAACACCCAGAAAATCACGTCTCACAAAAATGGAGGGGTATGGATTTTTGTTGTTTGCATCAATCTTCAAGAGATGAGTTAACTGAAATTAACTAGAGTGAGGTTGAAAGATGAACAGGAAGGACAAATGGGGACTGCTTTGTCTTCCCGTTGGCACTGAGCACTGACACCTTTAGGTTAAAGCACTGGCTGCGGTAAGTATTCACAGGGTTCTACCCATGTCTTTCCATTAAACTAACTCAAACTTTTAAATTTTATCTGCATCCAACTTCATACTTATTTCATAGCAATTTTCCAAATTCTAAGTTCATTAACAACAGAAGTCAAGCACTTTTACACTCTAGTGATCAGTGGGCAAGAAAACCTATGGTCTCTTTTTCTTAGAAGATGTTACACATTAAGTTTCCTTTTAAATACTGAATGACAGAAGTAGATTTTTATTAGCAGACATTTCGCTTAATCTAATTATCCCAAATGAAAGATATGCTTTTAAATATAGAAGTTATTCTCTATAGAAATATTTTACTAGATGCCATTTTTGCATCATTTAAAGTATTTTGAAATTATATAAAATTTATATTTTATTCACTTATGTACATTTACTTATAAAAATTCTAGAATCTTGATATAGTATTATTCGTTAGGTTCTGCAAGGGGGCTTTGGTTAGATATGAAAATTCTTTAAAGTTGCTTATTTTGTTGCTATTACTCTAGTATCTGAAGTATTTCAGATTGGATACACTTTACCCAATATCATGTTTTAATAAATAAAGATATGGAAGGGTTCTAGAAAGCAAAGATACAGGTAAAGAAAACTTACTTGAATGTTCCATATTCATACTCTTAATTTTAATAGATTGATTCAATTCTTAATAGTTCAACAAAACCATCATGCAAAGCGCCTGTCTAAATTTAATTTAGCTCTGAGAGCAGATACTGCTTTTTATACAACCCTTTCTTCTCTGAAGTAAGAATAAACGTTACCATTTTCATTAAGGAGATATGAATAAAGCTATTTGTTTACAAATGCAAGAGTGATTTCTTTTTCCTCCAGACCAAACTCCATACCAAAAAACAAATGTTATCAAGTGATTAGGTATATTCTCCTATTCTATGAAGAACAGCCTGTAAGATAAAATACTAGCAGTTTCAGACTTGTTTTTGCTCCATGACTACTTGGACAGTATAGTTATTATAATTAAAATGTTATAAGTTTAATATAATAAACTTAAACAAGGGTCTGGTACTGATGCCATTCTTTTGAACTCTTTGAAACACTTTTCTATAAATTAACTGATTATTTTTGTTTGAAACCCTTTTGCTACAGGAAATTCTGGAAAACTTACCTAAACAAATATATGCATAAGAACTAAAACGGTGAAAGAAACCTACTTCTCACAATGAAGTTGTGCTACATAGTTTAATAAGAATGTCTATACAAATACAAATATATTAGAAAAAAAGTGAAAAATCTCCATTTAACTTAATCGACAAAACAATTTCTAAAGAAAAGCTTTGTTTGTTTGTAAACCAATACTCTAACACCAAAGAGACATAACTGATCCTTGAACACATAATTATAGAGTTAAGGGCACATTCTATAATGACTATTTTATCTTACCTGAATCCATTCTTGATACAACTTTAAACTCTCATATTGAGAACACAATAATATAAAGAACATAGTGAAAACGCATGAATACTCTCTGTACTGCTCAGAGAAAGGGATATGACTCATTTAAACTAGGAAATGCTATTATTAAAGAATCAGGAAATGAACAAATAGCTGAAGAAACATGAGTTCCTGAGAGAAGAAATGCATTTATTAGGAAATTGTCACTTAGGTATTTTAGAGGCCATATGTGTAATTTAGAGGGCCTAGGACAACTACATAACTGGGATAAAAGTCTTACCCATCATTTTTCTATTTATTATGCACATCTGTTTTCTGGAAAACTGGCACTACACTTAGTATAAGATCTTATAGACTATCTGAGGTAGTAACACTGGGACAGCTTAAGGTATGAAAGTCCTGTTTTGGAATTATCAGCTGCATCTGAGCCAGAGCTATGCTTTGGCTCACATTTATCTTCAAGTGGGGGATGAATTTTCTTAGTCATTTCCTATGTTATAAAGCCCAGTGACTATGCCAAGTACTTTCCATAGACCAACAGCAATGTCATCTCCTAGGACCTTGTAAGGCAGAATCCCAGGTCCCAGGCCAGAACTACTGTGGAGGAATTTGCATTTTTTTACAAGATCCCTTGGCGATCCCCTGGAGACCTATATGTATGTTAATGTTTAAGATGTAAAGGACCCTGAACCAAGACGCTAGAGGCTAAGTCCCTCTATCCCAGCCCAGGGTATCTTGGTCTTTGCACATTTGACTTTACTGAGCCTCATTTTTCTCAGTGATAAGAATAAAGGATGTAATTAAGTGGTTATCAAAGATATCTGTCACCACTAAGACCTCTTACTACTAGGAACTGATGTTCACGTTAACATCCTTGTTAGAAAGTCCTGCTATCATTTTTTCCTGAATTTATTACCAGTCAGGGACAAGACAACTTAAGAACATCTAACAATCTATTTAGCTTAGCAGTACAATACTTGCCTGGCATGTGTAAGGTCCTCAGCTGGATCCCCAGCCAAACAAACAAACAAACAAACAAAAACAAATAAATAAATCTGATAACACAGATTTTAAAAAGATAACCAGAGAAGTAAAACAAACTGCAGATCCTCAACTGATTCAACTACTCAGCCACAAAAGTCATTATGTAACTTTCACTGACATCTAGAAGTTTTGCTAAAAAGCTGGAAGAAAGCAGAATTGTACATGGAAAGTTTATGCAAATGAGAATCCATCTGCTGTAGGGCTAGGACATGATTCTTTGGAATTAACCCCAAAAGAAGAGGGAGACTGATTCCTGACATATTTTTACTGTCAACACTGCATGGTAAGCATCCAATCTATCACTGTCCTTGAAGGAAAGAATAAGGTCAACTTAACTTGATTCTGAAGAACACGAACACAGTGCAGGTACTTTATTTCTTAGAAAATTCAAAGGATCTGAGTAAGAATCAAGCACCTGATATACTCTGAAAAACACAATACCATTTGCTTCACTCACTGAAAGATGAAATAATTTTTAAAAAAATTCCGCATTCACAACTTTTGTTTTATACATATGTAAACATGAGGTTTTTGGATTGAAATGAATTGATTTGCATTTGTGCAATTTTAACTGTAACAAAAACCTTAAAAGGCAAAAGAAAATTTTTTCAGCATTTGATTTTAACATGACAATCTTTGTTCTGTTTTTCTAAATATATATAAAACATGATAGTATTTTTCATATATATGGCACTGGAGATTGAACTGAACTACCTCCCCAGTCTTTTTTATTTGATTATTGTTATCCTTTCAGATAGGGTCTTGCTAAGTGACTAAACTGCCAAGCAGTAGGCTTGAATTTGTGATTCTCAGGCCTCAGCCCCCGAGAGTGCTGGGATTACAGGTGTGTGCCAGCCACAGCTGGCTTATACTTGCTCTTCGTGGAATAAAAATTCACAGTCTTGTGTGAACTCGCGCATGTCTATTTCAGCTAATCCTTTCGTCACTTTGACCTCGCTTCTCCCAGCCTATGAGTTCTGGGTGAAGATTTCTTCATTAGCTTTCACACTGCACCATGTCCTCCTGATCTCTTTCATTGAATTTACCTCTGTTGTGATTATTTGTTTGTGGAAACCGTGATCATATTTCAATCATTCTGTTGTCTCTATAGTCTAACACGGTGCCTGGATCATTATGGGTTCTCATAAAATGTTTGTTAAACAAACCTGAGATCAGACTGCAGGATTTAATAAAGAACTGTATGAAAAGAAAATTTCATAAGTAAATTGATTTGCCAATTACAGGTTGATCTTGAACATCTTTTATCTTTGAGGTTTAATGACAGACGCTTCTCTGGATTCTTAAATAGTATTTTTACAGAAACTACCAGTATCCTTCTCACAAATTTCCTTCGCCAAGAAAAGCCTTTTAACACTGTGTTACAATTGGGAAAAAGACTCTCTGATTCTTTAAGAGTAAATCTTTATCTCAAATTTAGAGTTACTGAAATACCAGTTTACCTAGGAATCAATAAAGCAGTATAAATATAAAAATTATAAATAAAAATTATGAAAGTAAAAATT